CTGGAATATTTGAGCGCTGAGATCCTCGAGTTGGCGGGCAACGCTGCTCGCGACAACAAGAAGACAAGAATCATTCCTCGTCACCTTCAGCTGGCTGTGCGTAATGACGAGGAGTTGAACAAACTGCTCGCCGGTGTCACCATCGCACAGGGAGGTGTCCTTCCCAACATCCAGGCTGTACTTCTGCCCAAGAAGACAGAGAAGAAACCCAAGGCATAAATCAGCCCTAACCCATAAAAAAACGGCTCCTTTAGGAGCCACCAAACATTACAGAAGTCTTAACCAACTAGATGTGAAGGTGAAAGTTGAAGGGGAATAAGAACTAACACCAATAATAAACGATACGTTATTTTATAACCCTTCCTGCCCAGTTTCCAATTTATGTACAAATAAATTAAAAAATCTCACGGAATCTCTGAAAACGAATGTTAATAAACGACCAAATACACTTCATAAAGTTTATGCAATAAATTATGAAATAACGCTGTCGCAAATTTTACTTGACACGAAATGTGCGTAACTTGCGCGCCAAAAAAAGGGTTTATTGTTGAATCTTTTCTTTTGTCGACGTCAGTGGCGGTGATAAGAAATATTGCGTTAGATTCTAGTTTGAAAGAGAGTTAATTTGAATTTGCTGTCAGTGTATACTCATGCGATCCATGAAAACTCGGAATGCCGGATATTAGAAGACTTTCAGTCATTAACTTACGGCGTAATTTCCTTCAGTTGGTGTTATATATGGGAGATTTTACATCGTTAACTAACGGTGTTTTATGTAGCGGGAGATTTTACGCTGTTAATTAAAAGCGTAAAATTGTACAATTAGAATATTTATTCATATATATATTTCTTTTATTCAAAATTTTTTTCATATTTAGTTTATAATACAGTCCTACCGACTGGGATAGTGGCGTTAAATCTCAATATACAGACCGTCACAGTCACAGTTTATTATGTCATTATATATATTCCCACTAGCAAAGAACAAAATTATGGAGAGCTTTGTGGAAAAAAATTGAAAAGTTGGACTAATACTTCATAAGTAGAAACAAAGTTAAGAGTGAAAAGAAAAAGCGGGTCAGGGCACCTTTGTTCTGGCGAGATTTCAGCCACACTCTCTTTGGGTGAATTGTTCTTTTTCTTGCGCTTCTGCCCTGTGTCGCGATGCGCGTGGTTTGTGTAATCACTTTCTTTTGAAAATTTGTTATGAGCGAAGTATAAGCAACAGTACTTGGCCGCATAAACGCATTTATTGGTCACGACTTTTATGATATTTGGTGGCTCCTAAAGGAGCCGTTTGTTTTGTGTGAGGAGGGACTGTCTAACCGCCAAAACCGTACAAAGTGCGGCCTTGTCTCTTCAAAGCGTACACCACATCCATGGCTGTCACAGTCTTCCTCTTGGCGTGCTCGGTGTATGTCACAGCATCACGGATCACGTTCTCAAGGAAAACTTTGAGAACACCACGTGTCTCCTCGTAGATCAGGCCAGAGATTCGCTTGACGCCGCCACGGCGAGCAAGACGACGGATAGCTGGTTTGGTGATACCTTGGATGTTATCACGAAGGATCTTTCGGTGACGCTTGGCGCCTCCTTTTCCGAGACCTTTACCTCCTTTACCGCGACCAGACATGTTGATATTAGCTCGTGTGTTAGAGTTATGGCAAATGAAAAAACGTTGTTTAATTTTATTCAAAGAGACATTACCTCTCAGAAAACAGAAAGAAAGAAAGCGTTGCTATTGGTTGAGTGAGATACCCAAGCATAATTATTATTGTAATACGTACATGTATTAACATAAATCACACAGTGTTCCTGCGCGCGTATGTTTTTAAATGGAAAACACCTCTGTTCCATCCCAAAGTCACTAGTGAAGTACGCTAAGAAAAGGTTTTGCGTTCTAGTTATCTTACATATGGGATTTAATGTGAGGATAATAATCATCTAATGCCCAAACGACCTCCTGCGGATCAAAATAACATCACAGATCCGTTAGATTATTCCCAGCGTTCGTACCTAGCCAATAAAATCTCTTAATTTTGAGCCAATCACAAGCAAACCCGCCAGGTATAAATAGTTTTCCAGGTTAAGCTTACAATCATCAATTCTCCTGAGTTGTTGAACAAGATGGCACGTACCAAACAAACTGCACGAAAGTCAACCGGTGGAAAAGCTCCACGGAAACAGCTAGCCACAAAGGCAGCTCGTAAGAGCGCTCCTGCTACCGGTGGAGTCAAGAAACCTCATCGTTACAGGCCTGGTACAGTCGCTCTTCGAGAGATCCGTCGTTACCAGAAATCCACCGAGCTGTTGATCCGCAAGCTACCCTTCCAGCGTCTTGTGCGAGAAATTGCTCAAGACTTCAAGACTGATCTGCGTTTTCAGAGCTCGGCTGTGATGGCTCTTCAAGAAGCTAGCGAGGCTTACCTTGTTGGTCTGTTTGAAGACACCAACTTGTGCGCCATCCACGCCAAGCGCGTCACCATCATGCCCAAGGACATTCAGTTGGCCCGCCGAATCCGCGGCGAACGAGCATAAGTGGACCGTACACTTCAAATTACAAACGGCTCCTTTAGGAGCCACCATATGAATAAAAAGCAATGACCACGTAAATAATTCCTCTTTAGAAAGAAATATTTTTATTCAGGGTCAGATATTATTTGAGAATGTTTATCTAACTTTTCATTGAGTCATCATGCTTTACCTACTTTCCAAATCTAAACCATTTTATGCACTCAAAGAAAGTCTTTATTTTTCAGTAAGATCGCTTACTGACTTTCGTACTTCTGGCAGCTAGGGCTAGGAAAATCGGCATAACTTGAAGACGAGATCATGTGAAGATGGAAAGTTCAGTATGGTTTTATTGGCTGAAAATCAGAGTAGACTCGATTACTCGCACCCAAACTCACGGCTCACGGAACTTGAAACAGCAAGTGCACTCGAATTTCTCTCCGCCCCGATTCGCGTGCTCGGGTTTCGCGAGTGTCTTCGCTTTTATGGGTGCTTCTATAACTCTCTAACGCTTTGATATTCATTAAAAAGTTTTTGAAAGTAAAGGCTTTTTTCACGTAGAATCGAGAAACAAAGAAAAAAAAATTTGTGTAGCAGTGCTTGTAAAATTAGATATGGTAGATAACAATTTCGAAAAAACATCACAGACGAAACAAGATATAAGAGCGTAGAGAACTACTTCGAAACTTCCCTGAGTGGTGGTCTCTGTCCTTATGGAAAATTTCCGCTTTTGAAAGCCCTCTGGTGCCCTCGCTTGACTCTCGCTTAACTCGCGCGTTTCCCACTAAGCCAATCCCCTCCCACTTTACTACACGAAAATGATTACAAGGCAGGCTATATCAAACAAAATTGAGTTCATAAGCTAAGCCTGAGCACTGTGCCTTCATTCCCTCTTATGTTTCCTCGTAAAATTGTGCAGACGCTTGCCGGAAATATTTGAAAGCACCCACAAAGGTGTGACCTCCGAAAGGTCACGTTGTTGAAGCTCACACCACGCGTGGTACTGTCTCGTGAATGGACAGCTTAACAGATGGCTAATTTTTCGCCTTTCTCGTGACATAAGCCCGAGACACTTTGGTAATTTTGACAATTATTCGTACGTCGGTAAGCCTATAAAGATCTGCTCAACGATCACCTTGGAAGGTAAGAAAAAAGGGAAACTTTTATTTTTTGTTGTTTTATGTGAATCTAAAAAATGCGTTGCGTTTATTTGATTAATTTCCGCAAGGAAATTTTTGCCAAAAATTTCCTTGATAACTGATAACTGTTATCTCCAATTCTCCTGTGCTAAACAAAAGAATTTCCAATGAATAGTGATAAGGCGATAGATACCCTTTGCAGGAAGAGATAAAAAAAAAAGAAAAGAAAACAGAAACAGAAGATAAATCAAAGTTACTTTTATGCCTTTCACTGCTTTGGCAAACTGTCCCATCTAATTCTCTTCTTACAGACTGTAATACGCTCCGCCTTCCTCCAGCAGGCTACGCCCTGATAAGAGTGTAATGTTGGGGAATTTGAATTCGAGATCCTAGTCTTCCTCTAACTCTTTTCCGAAATTTCTCAGTATCTACTTGGGTGTCATTAGATTGAGATGTTCTGTGAGTGCGACTAGGGGGAGGGGTGGAGAAGGCCCTAGGGAGAGAGTATGTACCTCAAGTTGAGGTAGCTCTTTGGATAAGATCCTCAAGTCCATCCTCTTAAATAATTTCATAGCGGTGATTGCAGAATTTTTCTTCAAACTCATTAAATCGTGAAATTTCCCTCTGAGTCGCAAACGCGCGAGAGGAGCGAGGGGCCGGCACTTCCAAACAAAAGACGTTTGTTTACACGGCTGTCGCACTGATGACTTGCAGAGCGAAACGTTCTCTGGGGAGAAGGAGGGCGAGGTATTGACGGTGGTCTCAGGTTTAATTCAGTAAATACGGAAACTGAAATGGTTTCTGCACGTGCTTCAACTTAATTTTCTTCTTTTGATAAGAAAAAGACTGACAAGCTTATTGTTTCGTACTTTTCATGTACGTGATTGTGAAATGTCACTTCACGTATCGCTGAACCTTGGCTGAAAAATCTAATTTCCTCCTGAATGTAAACATGTGACGCATGATTGCATCTTTTGTTTAGCTTCTGTTTTCGTCCAATGAAAGGTTCGTCAAATATTGAAAGAAGGTTGTAGAGAGTGCATCGGGAGTACATTTGCATCAAGTTGAGTCTTTAATGCTGTATTTTTTTAACATAAGGTTTGACATAGCTAGTAGGTCACGACCTACCACTGAATCGAAACCAGACAAAGTTATTTATTCGGCGCAGAGATGGCGAAAGGAAACGGCCGAGGCATTTTTTCATCAGGAGGAAGCAAGTGCTGCGGTTGTTGTTCAGGATGTATGCGACGAGTTCGCAAAGACTTGTTGCTTGTTCTGATAATCATTGGTGTCGTGATCGGTTTTGTCATCGGAACCCTTGTCAACGAACCAGTCAATATCATCGAAGATATCGAAGACAAGAAAACCGTGTTGATGTTGATCGGATTTGCCGGCGAACTATTCATGAGCATGCTGAAGATGCTGATTCTTCCACTGATCGTGGCTAGCTTGATTTGTGCGTTGGCATCTCTTGACGCGAAAGCTACTGGTCGTGTTGGAAGGCGAGCTCTTGTTTATTACCTTTCGACGACCATCTTGGCTGTCATCCTTGGAATAGTGTTGGTGGTGGCCATCAGACCCGGAGAGACCGACGAGGAAAAAACTGGGACGAAAGACGTGCAACCTGTGAGAACCTTAGATGCTTTTTTGGATCTGATCAGGTAATTTATCACCGTAGGCAGCTTAAAGATTTAATTAATCTTTACCTTTATTAAACTATCCATCTAAATTGATGGCTTGAAAACATTTCCTTGGGCTACTTTTTCGCCCTCAGGGTCACGACCTAGGTGCGAAATATCGTGTCGATTTGTTTTCGAAGATTTACGTTTGTTAAAACGAGTATTTTGACACTTATGTGAAGCTGACACCATTAACACAATATGAAAAAGATCTTTATCTGTACGGTAAATTCTAGCAAACTCACTGCCAGAGACCGCGACGGAACGAGTTTTTATATTTTTGGGAAAACCAACTGATATTGCTGTCTAATGTTTACTAAAGAGTTGTTTACTTCTTTTTGAAATGGTTGCGTAATTCCATAACTCGCGTTTTATCACATTTTTAGTCATCCAAATATGATTCTTTTGGTTCGAACTGGATCTGATTTTGTTTTAAAGCCTATGGAGTTAAGGTTATCAGGATGCTCTAAATCGGTCGAAAGTAGAAGTTTCCGGACGGATACGGTCGCTGAAAATAGAAACAATCAAGTTTCAGCGGCGTTCGAAGTCATGAACCTATATTGAATTTTAAATGACCCACACTTTTTTAGCGGCCTTCTCTAATTATATCGCGAACAATGAAAAGTTTTCTATGGTGTGAATCTTATAGGGTTTTTTGCTACAATTTAATTTTTTTCTCTTTAAATTCGTTAGCTGAGATTTCACTTTCACAGCAGATTCTTTACCTGGCGCGAGTTTGTTGACATTGCAACAATCGGGAAAGGCGCATGAAACAAACAAGATAACATTTTTGGAGTACTCCACGATCTCCAATGGATATGCTGATGTCGGAGTAATTAATTTGTCTTAAATGTCAAGGGATTATTTTTAGGTGAATAACGTCAGGATTATCTTGTGACCCGAGATATCGAGTGGGAATTCTTCCCGCTCGAAATATCATGTAAATTTGCAACATTTTTCGCAGGAAATATCAGGTTTTTGGCAGAAAATTTACCACTGACCTTACTCATCTTTTAAAGAAATTACCAGGTGTTTGTACTGGATATTTCACGTTAATTTGAATCAATTAACGTTCAAAATACCAGGTTTTTGCAGGACATCTCATTTTAACTTCAATTATTTTTGGAGGAAATAACAATTTGCTTAACTCGTGATTTTTTTCTCTTTAATTTGAATCAGGCCTTCGCAGGAAATACCGGATTTTTTTGTAAGAAATATCATGTTACATCTGCCATCCAGATCTGTTGGAAATATCAAGTTAATATAATAGATTTTTCATAGGAAATATCAAGGATTTTTCTTTAGCAGAAGTTTGCTTTTAATTCAAACAATTTAGCATGTATGGACCACCTAGGATCAACAACTTAATTCATTTTGTGAAAATCACAAAACCAAAGAATGGTTGCAGAGTTGCAATTGAGGACTGATAGAAACTAGATTTCTTAATACATTCCATTTAACAGGAGCTGTTTCCCTAGTAACATAGTTGCAGCGACCTTTCAGCAGGTATTGAAAATATTGAATAACTCAATTAACTGTTACATAAATGCTAAGCAGTGATGATGTTTTCCATTGATCTGACTAGAGTAGCAAGTCTGTGTTGTCCAAGCATAGTCAATATGGTTTCACTATTCTTTCTGGAACTTATAGTCATTCAATTTTGTTACCAATGTCTGCATATGAGCCAAATAAATGGCCATTATATTGCATGGAGTTGTTATGCCACTTTTTACCTTGTGAAGGACCACCATTTACCCCCTTCCCCTCTTCCCCAAGTAATTTTTTAAGGTAAGGTCACAATTAAATGATATTAAGGAGATTCTTTTTGCCAAGCATTTGGATGGCACTGGCATGAATCCCATCAAAGCTTCTTTTATCCAATTTATTTAATAACTGCTCTTGTGCATGGATAGTTTCTTTCTTTGGATTCATACAAATGGCCAATATCTTTCAACAACCTTTTGCCATTTCCTTCGTTTATCCAAATATTTAATCACTCAAAGCCATCTTTTGTTGTTGACTAAATCTTTAAAGAGTCTTGGAAACAAATTACCTTTACTTAGATTTTAGATAGATTCTCAGGAAAGATGTTTCATATGTTTCAGAAAAAAACCAAATATGCAACAAGTGACCCAGTATATAAAATGGAAAATAAGTCATTACCAAATGGATCATATGAAATGCAGTCTGTCGTGGCCAAGAAAGGTTCCAACACTGTTCCTGATGGGCTGATGGTGGACCCCAAGGGATCACTCAATGTTTTAGGACTGGTAGTGTTCTCCATTGTGTTTGGAATTGTCATGGGAAGAATTGGTGAGCGGGGCATGCCCCTAAAAGCTTTCTTTGAAGCACTTAATGAGGTGATCATGAAGATGGTGACATTGGTTATGTGGTAAGTCTTAGGCTGGGTTACAAATTTCATGTTTACCTAAGAATGATTGTATTAATGAATTTATTAAAAAAAAAAAAACACAATATAGACAAATGTCCTAGATCTCTAATTGCATGCCTCTAATAGCCTTCCTCATTATTTGCTTTTAAAATTTGTGTACATTGCCTTAATTTCTTAGTGGCGCATCCCCTCCTACAAAAAATTCCCTGATCCTTTCTTGCACTTGTGAGTAACATTATTGACTAAGTACTTATTTGTTTTGTCTGGGCTGATAAGTGTAAAAGAACCCTCCAATAGCATTTCTTGATAATTATGGATGCCAAATATTGAATGAATAAGCATGCACTCAAATTTAATCAATTATGTGGTTGATTTTGGGACATTTCTCTCTTGTGCACTGTTTGATGTCTCCATGCATTCAAGAAGGCCAGTTTTATAATACAGACTTTTCAAAACTAATTTTTATAAATTATGAGGTGTAAAAATTTGAATTCCATTAATTTATACTGCATGTGTCATGAGATTCATGACATCAATTTTAATGAAACTTCAATTCTCTTTCAAAACTTGATTCAGATCTCAAAGAAATTGTCACATTTTGTCCCCAGGTTTTCCCCAATAGGTATCTGCAGCCTAATAGCAGCAAAAGTGGCAGCAATGGATGACATTCTTAAGTCATTAAATATGGTTGGCCTGTACATGGCGACAGTGATAGCAGGGTTACTGATCCATGCAATAATCATCATTCCGCTGCTTTATCTAATAGCAGTGCGCAAGAATCCTCTGGGATATTTTCTTGGTTTGAGGGATGCTATAATCACAGCATTTGGAACTTCCTCAAGGTACATGTTGGAGTATGAAACAGAGAACCAATTGTTTTTATTTATCACAGCTAGTCTGTTGCGACTCCCACAAATGATCAATATGTAAATTCTCCCTACAATATCAGTATATTATCTAGCAAATATGTGGTAAGAATAGATCAGTCAGTTTATTTAGTTCAGCCAGGGAGTATTAACTGTACGTGAGTCAGGTGATCCACATCATTTTAGCTTATTTGGGATAGAGCGCCGGACTGATCTGTGGGAGGTAGAGGGTTCGAGCCCTGGCCGGACCAACACTCAAGGTCTTAAAATAATTGAGAAGAATATGCTGCCTTTCTATAACATCAAGAAATGGTTTAGATATTCTAGTCTTTTCGGATAGGGACAAATAAATGGAGGTCCCATCTCCTGCAGGGTTAGGGGTAGGAGACATTAATTTCCCATGCACGAGATTACTGTGTGATGGATGTCCTCCCCTGGGGTGGGATGGGTGGGTTGTTGTCTTGCGTTTCATACATGAG